GACTCTTGGGGTGTCCTGTGCAGGCCCAGGAGCTGGACTTCAATGGTCCTGATGGGTCCCTTCCAAATCAGGATATTCTATGATTCTGTGGTTCTATCTTATATTGCAATGATAGATGTCATTATTTTGCAATCTTATGAAATAAGGTAAAAAATAAAACCATATGATACGTAGATAAAAATCTGTAGTTGTTGCTCATAAAGTTGTGGTTACTTTTTCTTCCTTTTTTACCCCAGACAACAAATCCCTCAAATAAATACATGAATTATGCTTTCTGTACCTTTCTCTTCCCCAAAGCTTCCATTTTCTGCATTGGTACAGTTTCCTCTGAAAGAAATAGCAGTTGTGTGTACATTTATATGTTGTCCTAAAGGCAGGAAAGGGGAATTTAACTAACTCCATTAGAAATTTCTCAAAATTCTTTCAGAAGAAGAGCCCAGAGCCTGCTTAAAATATCAGTGTCCTTCTGCAGAGTAAAATGCAGTGATATATGCAAATAAGCTGACCTTGCTAAGGCTGAAGCTGTTGAATGTGCAGTCTCCAATATCTTCGCCTCCTTTTACAGCTCTGTAACTTATGCCTAAGGGAACATTTAAAGGGAATGTGAAAATCTGGTTCCCACCAGAGGGAAAAAAATATGTTCAAAGTAAAATTAGGAGTGTAGAGCTTGAAGACAGAAAATGGTATTGTTAGTGAAATCATGGCACATTTTAAATAGAAATCAATTCTCAAAAAGAGATTGAAAGATGCTTTAATTTTACTTCAATTTAAGGTTACGAGCACAACATGAAAATGTCTTGCCTATGTGTAACAGTCTCAGTTGTTCCTGTGGATAGGTCAGGATGATCTGGCCTTTTCAAAACAACCTGCCTGTAAGGTTTATGGCAAATATTATTAGTGAGATTAAAAGAGATCTTTTCCTATTCTTCTTTATTCCACCAGATGCAAGATTTTAGTCGCAAAGAATGACAAATGTAGAACAATTTCAGTTTAAATCAATAAGTTCTTTCTTGTTCATCAGAATTCCAGGTAGACATTTTTTATTTTTACTTCAGACTCACAGAAGATAAATGGTGAGAAATAAATGTAATACATCTCAACGTTTTTTTAAATTATTTTTTATTTTTTTAATTGCTTTTTACTCGTTCTTTGTTCCTTTCCACTTCTCCATTCCCTCTTATATTTTACACTGGAGCACAAACAAAACTTCTGAATATTAAGGCAGAATATAATTATGTGAGAACAGTTGGTAACCCTACTTTTTAAAAAGAATTAATTTATTTATTTATTAGTTATTTTTATACTTCTGAAAACGATGGAAGATCTTGCAACAGACATCAGAACTCTTCCATCCCTAGTGTTTGTAAGATAAGACTGGAAATCTGGCTCTAGGTGGTCTTCCTTGGGAAAAGAGGTTGGGCCAGATGACCTCCAGTGGTCCCTTCCAATCTCAAACATTCTATAATTCTATGAATAGACCTCCATGAACTGTTTTATTATTGAAGAAAAAAATATTTCAGTGAAGAATGAAAAATCCCTTTGTAACATGTCCTAAGTGGCAGAACTTTAGAGTGAGGTTCTAGGGGGAAAAATGTCTTAACACAAACCAACTCTCCAAATCTCTGCTTTCTTTCAGCTCTAACTAAAACCTTTAGGAACAAGTCAAAATTACTATGTATTTTTAGGAGAAATTGATCTATGTAGAATTCAGTTTTGGAAGTACCTTGCCACTCTTACTTTCTAACCTTTTTCCCCTTCTCTCTTTCCTTTCTTCTCAGCAGAAAGCAAGCACAATTAGTTGTGTAATATTTTCTCATAGGCATCAACTAAAACCAGGTTAGCATCAGTTGTGCTTTGTATGCTTTTCTGGTACTTACTATACCTGACATTTAAATGCAAATGGTGCTCCAGAGTTTAACATTAAAATGAGACTCATCTGAAAATTCAGTTTGCTTCGTTTTGCTTGGGGTTTTGGTTGGGTTTGATTAATTGAAGAAAAGCAAATGGTCCCTTTTAACAACAGTCATTTCCCATTGTGTTTCCTATAATTGGCAAGTTAGGGAGAAAACCTTTTTCATAGAATCATGGAATGTTTCAAATTGGCAGGGACCTTAGAGATCATCTATATCTCCCTGCCATGCAGTGGGCAGTGGTGACACCCACTATAAAAACTTCCCCGGGGCCCATCTAACCTGGCCTTGAGCTCCTCCAGGGCTGGGACATCCACAGCTCCTCTGGGCAGCCTGAGCCAGTGCCTCACCACCCTCACAGTAAAGAATTTCTTCCTAACATCTAAGATAACTATCTCCTCTTTTAGTTTTGAAGCCATTTCCCCTTTTCCTGTCACTATCTGTCTCTGTAAAAGGTCTCCCTCTGTCTTTTGTTGCCATGAAAGCCCAACACAGGGGGTCACTGAGTGCAAACAAGTGTTTGAGTAAATGTGTTTTACTAAAACAAGGTTGGGAAAAATAGAGATCAATCATCTTGCTTAAAAACCCTGGATGAATTTGAGACACCTCCTGAAAAAGCTGATTAGTGGTTTTGTTCTTTTGAGAAACAACTTTCTAAATGCACTTTCACTTCAGCTGTAGCTGTCAGCCCAATTGTGCTTCTGAAAAAGAAATTGTCATCCTGCTTTACCCAGATAACTGTGGGACGAAAGAATAAAAAAATGTGAGCACATAATTTAATTTGTTAAAGTCATGTATTTCACCTCTTTAGAAACTCGTGATTCTATTGTTAATAATCAAGTCATAGGTCTCAACTCATCAATAGAATTGAATTAGATAACAAATATTGTAAAACATGTTAAAAACATTACTATTAAAAGTCCAGGCCTTCACAACTGAAAGAACTGACTCCTTAACAAAGCCAGTGCTAGACAGAGGTAAACCAAACAATTTATAATAACTAAATTATAACAATTATTGTCCCACAAAAGTCATGAAATTGCTGCTAAAACCTTACAGAAATGGTGTGAGAGGAAACATAAATTTAAACCTGATTCTAGTTTAACTGTTGGTTTTAGTGCAAATTTAAGGCATTAAAATCCTCAGGAAAAAGATATTTTAATAAAATGTAAGAAATAGTTGAAAAGCAAGAACAGTATTCCAATAAATAGTAATGAACTGTGGATTTAAATATGCTTTTTTTTTCAGGTGCTTATGCAATTTTCAGGCAATAATTGGAAAAAATGGTATTAAATTTTATGCAATATAAAGATTATTTTAAAAAGCTAGAACCAAACATCTTTCTCTCCTTCCTTGTAATAAGAATAATTTGGTTCAGATTCACTATTGCCTTACATAATGTCTTTTTCATATTCCTATCTTTCCTGCTTGCAAAACAAGTGATGCTGGTGTAGCAATGTTTTATATTCCTGATACTAATTTCATCTGTCTATTAAAAATATTTGACGAAGTTAAATACCAGATCAATTTCTATCAGAGATTCAGACCTGCATAACATAGCATAAACCAAAAAAAATATTTTCATTACTAAATATCACCTCAGGACAGGACTGAAAGTGTATAATCAACTTAGTCATCTACTGTGATAGGTAGTTTTCTTCCCTCCACAGAATTTGTGTCTTTTTTTCACTTCCTGCCCATGGTGTGTCAGGAGAAATAGAATGAAGAGAAACAGGATAAATTTGAAACAGAAAATCTTTGAAAAGCATCTGTGAAAGTTGTATTGAGAGAAATATTTTGATCTAGTTGATCAGAATCAACCTAATATGCAATCCAAATTTTAAAATATAATTTCAATGAGAAGAAAAATGGACCAGACATCAGCTATTATTCTTCTGAATCTCTGTGCCTGACACATCATGAAGAACTGATGTAGAATGAAATCTATGTCTAGCAGCACCAAAACAGAGGTAGATGGCACCATTAGGCAGAGACTGTATCCATCCTGGTAACAAACAACATCACTAGGTGAATCTTTCCCAACTATTGAATGACCAAAATGATATTTGTGTAATTTACATATTTCCCTTGTAAAGGAGTTTATAAGTATTTAAATTTTAAATGTTGCCAGACAGTCCCAGGCCTTTGAGGGCTATAGTGAATATTTCTATGTGTTATGTTTGGTGTGTGGGTGCTGGTCAAGCTGTCCCCATCTGCCCTAAGCAGTGCTGGCACCCCCTTCCCTCTGTCAGCCTGGAGCACTCACAGTGTCAGGAGACCAAAAGTTCATGGCTTTATCACAAACCCCTTCTTGCTGTGAGTCATGTGTCTGCCTGGAAAACACTGGCTCTCAGTCTCCATCTGGGTTCTACATTAAAAAAAACACCTAAAATAATCACTTGCACAGCAGTGTCTCAAATGCCATTACGCATTGTCACAGTCTCCTGCATGTTAAAACAACATTTGCTAGCCCAGCAGGAGCCATTCTGACAAAATTGCTGAACAGGGCACTTTGGGCCACCTTGTCCAATGCAGTGTTGTTCCAACTCCCACGGAAAAGTGCAGGCTGTGACACACTCACTCCTGCATCATGAAGAGAAAATGTAAACTCTGAACACGAGTCACAGGGACTGGGGTTACACTGTGTTTTCCCTCATGGTACACCCCAAAGCAATCATCTTACCTTTTCTCCTCACCTTTGCAGTTCCCTTATTATAAACTCAGTGTGTGACCACAGAATATTTTATATCACTCACTCAGAAAGTTTTCCTTACAAAGCTCAAAGACACTCTTTTGAAGAATGAGGATTATTAATGGTCTCCCCTTCTCTGCACTTGCTGCTCACCAGGCCATCTCTTTACTCTTTTTAAATGTTACTCCTTTACTCTTTCTTCCATTTACTCATATAATTACCTTGTTGTTGAACAGTGTTTATCTTCATGACAGCATCCCAGAAGAAATTAGCATGTTTGTGTTTGGTAAAATTTATCATATTTGTGTTTGGAGATATTAGAGACATTCTGTCTAGTTCTTGTTTCTGCCAGTCTCCAAAGGAGCCTCATTTTCCTCCATTCCTCTCTTCTGCTGCAGGAAGAAATGCAGGAATTCTTCTGCTCTCTTACATCAGCACCAGAGGATGACTCGTATGAGTGCCAGCAAAACACCCAGCACCATCCAAGGTCTGTTTCTATCTGTGGGGACACACTGGTGCTTAATGACTCGACCTCACCATCATGTGGAGAGGGAAAAGAGCCAACAATGCATCTGGACACTGCATGGCAAGAGGGCACACCAACTGGGCATCTCAGGATGCTGCCCACACCCAGTCTGTGTCCCTGCAGCCAGTGCATGTCCCTGTTCTCCTGCCAGAGATGACCTGGTCCCAGCTAAGCACAGGACAGGAACAAACACTGGCAGTGACCACGGGGAGCCTGGGCTGGAATGGAGGCTCAGTCTTGAGCATCACAATGATGAGGGCAGCCTCTGGGCTATAATTTAGATCTGTCAAAAAACAGATGAGCCTTTAATAGGAATAGTGCCTGGGCCACCTGTGATGGATTATCAGCTTCCTGGCTAACTCTTGTAGGCTGTGTCTCTGCTGGCAGATCAGAGCCAGCAGGGATTGTCTCTATGACAGTGCTTACGGTGGGGTTTGGCTCAGGTGGGTGGTAAGAAGGGCAAGGAATGACATAAATCTGGATTGTGGAGTGTCCCATGGCTTGAGCAAACAAAATGACACCTTAGGCTCCAAGAACTGGTGGCTCTAGATGAGAGCAGCTGAGGTGTTGGTGAAAGAGCCAGCACACCTCCGGCAGTGGCCAGTGTTTGGATGATTTGTGGTGGCCTGAAAAGCAGCAGCTGCCAGATGCAGCTGTATTCCCATTTCCTTTGGTCTGCTGGTTTGTGCTGCAAGGCTCCCATTTACAGATTCTTTTTTTTTTCCCTTTCTCCTAGGCACAGGGGAGCTTATCAGATAAAAGGACTTGGTGGAGTGACAAAGATTGATTAACACTGAGGTGGAATGGGATTTTTATTTCTGCCTTCATAAACACCTGAGTGACAGTCAGATGTGTGTGACTGTGGTCTTATCAATAACAGTTTATGTGAGATGGGCTTGAACTAAAATATTTTGTATTTAAACATCTAAATCTTGGGGGACTTGAATCTTAACAATATTAGGTAAAGGAATCAAATGCTGTACTATTTCAGCACCAGGGAACAGCTATAATAAACAGGAAGTGTTTCAGAGAGATGATAAAAGCTGTGCAATAAGATTTGGGGATATTCCAAGCGATAATTCTGTGTAAATTAAAATCAATGTGTGAAATTTTGACAGAGAAAATTAAGATGGTAGAAGGCATATTTCAGATCCTCGGCCCAGTTCTCTTCAACATCGGCATTAACAACTTGGGCCCAAATCTTGTCTTGAAGGAATACTAAGTAAATTTGCTGACAACACTGAATTGGAAAGAGCTGTTGAGTCCCTCAAGGGCAGGGGGGCTCTGCAGAGAGATCTCAACAAATCAGAGAAATGGGCAATCACCAACAGTGTGGAGATTAACAAGGGCAAGGACTGGATTCTGCACCTGGGATGGGCAGCCCTGGATGTACAGACAGACTGGGGAATGAGAGGCTGGAGAGCTGCTGTGGGATGGGACCTGGGGGTCCTGGTCAGTGGAAGCTGAATGTGAGTCAGCAGTGCCCTGGCAGCCAGAAGGGCCAACTCTGTCCTGGGGCATCAGGCACAGCATCACCAGCCAGGCAGGGGAGGGGATTGTTCTGCTCTGCTCTGCTCTGCACTGGGGAGGCCTCACCTCGAGTGGCTGGGGCAGATTTGGGTGCCACAATTAAAGGCCTTAAGCCATTAGAAGGTGTCTAAAGGAGGACCATGAGGATGGTGAAGGGTCTGGAGGAGAAGCCATACAAGATGTGGCTGAAATCATCACCTGTTCAGCCTGGAGAAGAGTGAGAAGAGTCCTCATTGTGGTCTGCAAGATCCTCATGGGAGGAAGCAGAGGGGCAGACACTGATCTCTTCACTCTGGTGACAGTGCCAGGACTTGAGAAAACTGCATGAAGTTGAGTCAAGGGAGGTTGGGGTTGGAAAGCAGGAAAACATTATTTCCCCAGAGGGTGGTTGGGCCCTGGAAGAGGTTCCTCAGGGAAGTGATCACAGCACCAAGCCTGAAAGAGTCTAACAAGTGTTTGGACAATACCCTCAGATACATGGTGGGACCCTTGGGGTGTCCTGTGCAGGACCAGGAGTTGGGCTCAATGATCCTGGTGGGTCCCTTTCAACTCAGCACATTCTGTGATTCCTTGATTTGATTTCTGTTTTTTCTCATGCTTCACTTTGTAATGAAGGATTAAAAGGGATGTGACAAAATTACAACCACTTATAAAATCTGAATAAGAAAACACTTCCCTAGGGTTTTGGGGAGACCTATATACAAATATACTAAATTTTTTGAATGCAGCAGATTATCTATCATTATCATTATTAATAATAATAATAACAATGATATCAATGTTATTATTATTATTACTACAGAATAACAAGCTGAGGCCTTACTGGGATCCAAATCCCGATTTTTAATCAAAGACTTGGATAACAAGCAGGCTGCAGGTTTTTCAATTTGGGGTAAGTAGGACCTTGAGAGAGTAAGTAACAGTTCCTGTTTTCATTACTATGTGCCATGTGTGGATGAAGGGAGCCACAACAGACCATCTGTATGAGTGACTGGTGTTTAATCCATTTTCTGCAGACATTGGCAAGGCTTTCATCCAATATGGCATGTCAAGGATGGAATTCCTTGGTGGAAATTCTCCTCCTGCTTCTCCCCGCAGAGCCTTTTGTTCATGCAGGGATCTGCCTGATTTGTTCTGCCTGATGCCTCACTGGGAAGCAAGGACCTATTTACAATGAATTGCCATCTCAGATAGGGCTAAAGGAAAATTTATAAGTTCAAAAGCAGCTCATAGGACTTAGTTCACATCTCCTCTGTGCTGGAAGACAAGAGAAGGATGAAATTTGCATGCACACGTGTGGATGCTTTCACCAAGTAAAAAAATAATACCTGTCCTGAGTTCTTCTCAATTTGAAGCCAGAAGCTTGTATTGACACTTATTTTCTAGGCAATAAATAAATAAATAAGATTTTTTGGTCTTCTGAGTTCTGTGTTAAGGGCCATTCGACTCTTCTGAATAACAAAAAAACACCTTTCATTTTAATTGCCTTTGGTTTTGGTTTTGTTTGTTTTTTTTCTTTTGCCATATCTTCCAGAGATAGTGTTACAGACATAGAAAGAGAAAAAGACACTCAGTATTTTTTTCTCTTTCACATTTCTCAGTTATTTTCCAATGGACACTTAAGCAGCTCCTCCAGCAGGATTCATTTCTGACCATGAGGCTGCTCAGTGGTCCCTGACAGATGTGACATTGCAATCCCCCTGTGCCATTTCAGGATGCTGCAGCGTCACAGCTGAGATTGGCTCTTAACAGAAACTATGTTGATGGTATTAGGAATTGGAATAAGCACCAGTGTGAAAGGTTAGAAGTGTTTAAAGGCAAAATTTGGAATAAATCTTAGAAAGGATGAGGGATCTATAATGCCTTTAAGCAGTTAATAGAAATTTAATTTTCTGGCCATCCTCCAGAAAGTGCCTGGATGTTGAATACTTTGGCCTAAAGTTAGATAAAACAAGGTATTTAATCTAAATGATCCCTTGCTCCATTCTTAATATTCTCTTTTCTGCCATTATTTTCTTTGAAATTTGCTTGCCAAAACTCTACTGGAAGACAAGATATGGATATTGTAGGTAAGGCTAGAGGAATTATTAATGTAATTTAGCAAATCTGATTGATGGCAGAATTTTCCATCAAATAACTTATTTGCAAATTGGTAACTTCCTATTCACAGCTGAAATCCATCTGTGTGCAAAAGACCTCAGAGAAGCTTTATGTGTCATTTCCATCTCTGTTAAAAAAGCATTTTGAGGACTCTTGTGGGACTAGCAAGACGAATAGGCCATGTTCTGACCTGCTGCACGGGGGTGAGTTTTATCCTTTCTGACTGGCTAAAATGATACAAACCTTAAATAAAGCACATATTGACATTGTAAGATACCATTAAGGTCCTCAGTGTACCATGGTGATGAACCATGACCAAGTACTCCCAGGGTTGTAATAATTCATTACTGAAATAGTACTGAAATAGCTTCCTTCTAATGACTAAGGCTGACTGTGTCAGAGAGCTTGGACTTCTAACCCCAAGGCTTGTTATATAGCATTAAATAAATCTCACTTTCTGTTCATTTACCTACTGTATCAAAGGTCATGAATCATAGCTGACAGCAAGATTTGGATAGGTATCTTTTAAGAATCTCTCTGATTATGGGATGAAGCTGCTGTTAGGCAAGCCTGGTCTTGTACTCCCAAAGGGGTGACAGGTACACATTGATGGTACTGAGAAATTCCTTCCCCTTCACAACTTAGCCAATTTTCCTCTAAATATTTTCCTTGCATTTCTAATTCTTATTTTTATTTTCCTTTTTATTTTGGAAATAGACAAACTCTCTGACAATAAGAATTCATGTGAATGCCAGCTACCAGAGAACACAGTCAGTTCTTTCCCAATGTGTTTAAATCCATTGATCTTGAACTTTTCAAGCTCTGCCAGAAAGTGGCATGATGAGAAATGGAGGGCTCATCCTCCCTCAGGCACCACCACTGGGTATTACCTTGGAGCTGAAGGAGGTGGGAATTAGTTCCATTTAACAAAGTAGAAAGTAGAAGGTGGATATCTCCCACCCTGGGTCAGTGCTCTAACTTCTGCATTACAAGAGAAAAGCACTTCATGGAGCACTCAAGCTGCTCTTCTAAATCAAAAGTGACAGCTAGCACCTTATGAATATCTCAGATTTTTTCAGTGTATATTTCATACACTCTGGAATTTTTTAGAATATTTCTAGTTCAGAAACACTCTGAACTTTCACAGGACACTGGTCTTGAAAGTATTAAGACTCACAGCTTTTGGTCCTGGTCCCATAAAGTTTTCCTGTCTGCATACAACTCTTACATAATTAAAGTTATTGGCAGAAGTGAACTGCATGTAAACCATCACATATACAGACAATGTGAACCTTCCTGACTAAACTACCACCATTTGCCTTTGAAATAAACAGGCAAATAACTATTAAAAGTCTTAAATGTTTATTTGCATTTTTCAAAATGTAATAATCTTCATGCAGTGAAACAGATGGACCATGGAAATTGATGCATGAAAGTAAATAACCCTTTCTCCACCAGTATCTAGCAATCACAAGGCCCAGTGATCACTGAATTTCTCCTATTTTCTTGAAATAGCCATTAAATTAGAGATGATTCAAGGTTTTTTTTTTTAACGTACTTCATTTTACTTTGCATAAGATTAATTTTACTTAATTAATAAATAAAAAGACCTAAGATTTAGAGAAGTCTTTAGAAAATATTTGTTAAAAAACATTTTAAGAGGTGACACTGTGATAAAGCAATGAACTAGATTAAAGAGTGAGAAAACCAGGATAAAGAGTAATTTTTCAATATAGCAAGGACTTAAAGATTAACTTCCCTGGCTTTTGCTTAGTTTATTTAGTAATTGCCATCACAGATGGCGAGTTAGAGAAAGGTGAAGGTGATAGGAAAGTAAAAGAATAAAGAAGCACAGGGGAATACATGACAAGAAAAGTTATTTTGCCAAAACTATTTCTGATTCTCTTCACAACTGCAGTGTCCAATGTAGATCTGATGACTCTGGGAAAAAATATCTGAAGAACTAGACCATCAAATAGTTTCTGCTCTTCTTTCCAATAAACCAGTAGTTAGAACATGCCATAAAGAGATGAAATACTCAATTATTCTATTTCCCTCAGAGAAAGTTCAACTGTGTGAATACTCTAACCATTAGGCTCTGACAAAAGGTGAATTGTTGGAAACTTGGTTGGTTAACTTCTCCCATAACTTTTGGGTAGCTAACATTTTATATACTCCTCAAAATATGTGGGCACCAGAGTATTTCATCTGAGGTTTCGTGAGAGTATTATCAACTACAGTAACCTACTCAATACAGGCTTTCATTTTGGAAAGAAACAATGAAACATTTATATGCTTGTTTAAATGCTAATCAGTTTTTGTTTAGCAGCCAGACCAAAATATTAATTATTCCTACAACCTTACTCAAGGACAAAGATCCTGTTGATGAGCTTCAGAGGGGCTTCAGCTTACATAAATGGGTTATTAAACAGCAAATGAAATTCTGTGTTGGAAAAAAAAAATCATAAAGTAGACGAACCTCTTAAATCACTTTTCAAACCTTGCAGCATTCAAGACTAGCAGCAGTGGATGAAGAAAGGAGCAAAGGCTTTTCTAAAAATCTCTCTTCGATGTTCAGCAGCAGTGAAAACTATATTGGAATTTTATTGGCATTTTATTGGATTTTTTATATGGAAGTTTATATTGGAATGCACAAAAAATAAGGTTGTAGTATTTCAGATCATGTTATAGTGCATGCATGTGTCCTGCACAGTGGCCTGTCCTGTGTGATCTCATCTAAGGTACCATGTGGCATTGGTGGAACATTTCTTCAGAAGGACAAGGACATAGAAAGTCCCCTCAATGAAAAAGAAGAAAAATCTTATAAGATTATGAAGGAAACAAATAAGAATCAACTCCTTAAAAGGAAAAAAATAGAATGAATATTGATTAGGAACATAATTTTTGTCTGTTTTCCCTGACTGATGTTACAAATAAAGAACATTACTTCAGCCTACAATACACCTTTAAAACTTTTGACATACCTAGCAAAAATAAAGTGATTTAAGTGATTTATATGATCAGTCATCCTTTTTCATATAACAGTTAATTAAATTTCTGATTTTTTTCCATAGAAAATCTGTTTAAGATTCCCAGTTTAACAATATTCTCAAAGAAACGCGGCTGTTCTGACTACACAGGTACCAACACCTACAATAACTTAGTTTTTGAATAGAGAGTATGTGTGATAATGACTATATGAAAGAATGCATTTCTTCATAATTGTCTACTGCAATTTTCAAAATTCCCTTATATGTAAACCTTAAAGCTGGATGTAAGGTTGCAAAAAAACACCCCTAGATCTTTTTTTCCTGGTCTTGCTCAGAATAGATTTTTCTCTCATATTTGTTTCTGATTTTTACTGCTCTGAGAGTATAATCTAATTACACATTTTGCAGAATATCCCAGTTATATTTTGTGAAAGTAATTAACTGTATTCTCAACTTTTCCACATTCAGTCGTTCAGAAAACCAGCTATGGCTTATTATCAGTCTTTTCTTCACTCATCTTCTCTGGAAATCAGAGGGAGCTTTGCTTTCCCTGGTACACATCTGCTGGTCACATTGCTAATGAACAGAAGATAGCCACTGTCTATTAAGGGAATAGCTAATTTTCATCAAGACCCTGGTATATAAAATATTCATTAGAGTGTGAATAAATTGCACATTTAACCATCCAGAAGAGAAGAACTTATTTAATAGCAAAACATTGCACAGACCTGAAATATAAATAATGCTGTGGAAGCTGAACACTTGGAAACATTTAATAGTCAGTGAACTATCTTTTCCTCCTGCCATCAGAGATATAAGAATATTATAGCACCACCTTGCTTTACCTCTACCATAAAATTAATTACCTTTCAACCGACCCCATTTAATTGCTTATAAAACTCATCTGACTTTCCAGCATTTTTAGCAACCTGTATGTCATCAACAAAAGTGCTTAGAATAAATTAGCACTCCATCTTTTTTCATATCCTTCATATAATCACAAAATTGAAACTAAATAGATGGCCCATTGCATTTTGCCACAAGCAGTAGATTTATCTCAAAAATACACTGGAACAATGTGCACACATAGGCTCTTTAACATCTTTCTTTTAGAAAGAACCCATGGTCTGTAATATTCTGATACTGTTGAATCATTAGGATATCACTCCATACAGGCCACTGTTCTGAACTAAATGATGTTGAGGAATTTGGTAGAATTTTGTGGATTAAATGATTTATAAAAATGGACATTCTTAGCAATTCCATGGAAACATTCACAATGGAAAATAAGGAATGGGATGGGATGGGATGGGATGGGAATGGAATGGAATGGAATAGAATAGAATAGAATGGAATGGAATGGAATGGAATGGAATAGAGTAGAATAGAATAGAATAGAATAGAATAGAATAGAATAGAATAGAATAGAATAGAATAGAATAGAATAGAATAGAATAGAATAGAATAGAATAGAATAGAATAGAATAGTTGAGCTGAGCTTAGTTGGAAGGGCCTTCAACAATCATCTTTGTGACGAGTCCAGCTGTTTGGGTCTGATCAAAAGATAAAGCAGGTTGATAATAGAATTGTCCAATGCCTCTAAACATTGACAGTCTCTGGGCACTGACCACATCTCTAGGAAACTTGCTTCAGTGTTTGGCCAACTTCTCTGTGAATAAAAGCTTCCTAATGTCAAGACTGACCCTCCCCTGAGGCAACTTTGAGTCCTTTCCATGCATCCTGGGATACCAGTGGGAAGAGCAGCTGTCCAGCCAGCTATATAGAATAAGAAATTCACCAAAATGTATTATTATACAAATAATTGTTCAGATCAAATAAATTCACAAACCCCCTGCCCCTCCTCAACCCCCAGAAAATTAGTTGTGTGCATAAAATTTTCCTGGACAAACATTTTGTGACCCAAAATCTGGAAAAAAATTAAAATTCTCTCGGAAGAGATAAAATTTTTACTTAATCCCAGTGTAAAACACTAGCTATTATTTTAGCTCTCTACAACTTTTGGATATTTAAAAATGAAGAAAAAATCAATTCAAACTACTTTATTAAAAGCAAATAAAAATTCAAAATTCCCTTTTTTAGATTTATATTTTGAGGGTTTTTTTTATTTGTCAAAAAAAACTAATTGGAACTACTGTGACTCTTAAATTGACTTAAAATTTGACTAAAAATATGACTTAAATGTGACTTAAAATTGCCTATTGACTTTCTATAATTATCTCACTATTTTCTTTCTCAGGATTACATAAGTAGGATTAGTCTTTGACTTACATATTTACATAGTCCATGTCTCTGGTTTTAAACTCTAGTTTTAAAGTACTTGAGCCCAAAACTAGGGAATCTGTTTTAATTCAAACTACCTCCTCATTAGGAAATGCAGTGCAGGGATTTTGTCTAAAATCACCTCTATTTAAATGAATCATTCTGATGCTTGTGGTTCACTTACTTTTGCATTCTGTAAATTGTCAGATCAACATGAAGTTGTATGACAGGATGCTGCCAAATGTATTATTTAAGGGAATAATGGTGCTGCCTTTACTGGAGGTGAATTGTGGTTGTACTGGATTTGCATGGTCAGGTTTTGGGTGATACAAGGGTGCCTGGTAGCTGAGAACAGATTTTTTAAGAAGTGGTGAACTGCAACAAATTTTGGACATAAGGTAAATTTTCACTCTTTTGGCAGTAGTAGCCTTTTGTTACCAATGCTGCAGCAGCTTTTGGAGCATGGTCAGAAAGAAATGAGAGCATCCTAGCCCTGGCCCTGACCATGCTCTTCAGTTCATTTCTGAAAGCAGAAGACTAGAACTGTTCAAGCTGACTACGTGTCAGTCACAGAACAGTCTGAGTTGGAAGAGACCCATCAAGTCCAACTCTTATGCATGAGTTAATGGTCCATACAGGGATCAAACCTGTGATCTTGGCTTTATTAGCACCGTGCTCTGACCAGGTGATCTAATGTCAGAACACAACCAACTTGCTTTACTTCATCCTTCTGCCTTGAATTTTGAAAACTGAGCTGCTTATCCCTTCTGGTCATCATCAGGACACTCATATAGTTTCAAATTTCCAGCAATCCCAGGTACAACTCTAGTTTTTGCAATACATGAGGTCACAGGCAACTTGTCTCCACAGTCACAACAGAACTCTCACACTCACATTGCTTTGGCTTCCAGAAATCAGGTGTTCCTTTTGGGTGGCACCAGCTCTGACACTGCAGGTCAAGGAGACAGACCTGAGTTGTTGAGTGGTTTAAGTGTGCCAGGAAACCAACCAAACTGTCACATGAGGGGTAGCAGTGCTATAATTCCCTGGAAATCAGCAGTGTAGTGAGTCCTGGAAACTGGTACACATGACCATTGTTGGTGTCAAGTGCATACTTTTCTCCCTCCAAAGAGTAGCCACATAATTTTGGAGCAGGTGCTGTAGTAAACCACAACACATAGACAAAAGGAAAGCACAGTAATTCTGTTTATTTAATGCAGGGTATAAGGACCTCACTCTTGTCCTGTCCATCTCACCCCTGGACTGCCCCTTCTCACTCCCCAGTCTGATAATGCCTGATGGCACTTTACAGGCACAGGACCCCAAGGTAAAAGAAAAAGAATTTAGCAGGTGCCAAAGATCCAGTCAGGAGAGGGGCAGGTTGCTCTGGGATGGCTCATTCTGACCCATAAGGAACAAAGACAAGACTCCATTCCATCTGGGTGCTCAGACACAGGAATACAAACACAAACTTGCTCCAGTCATGCCCTATCCACTTCTCAGTGACAAGATATCACTGCCCTGACCTTGTCATATTTCCCTAGAAACCAGACTGACTTTTGTCTGACTCAGTTTATTTGAAGTCTTCCCAAGGAATGGGATTGGCACACGATAAAGTGCTTGGGACATCTCTGGGAAAAACATACCATCATGCTAACATGGGTGTCAAGATGAATCATCTCCCACAGAAGGCTTTCCACAGCCCACACCGCTGCTCAGGTGACGAGCCACGCTCCTCCTTGGCTCTGAATCAGCGCCTCGGCACACGCTCGCGGTAACTGCAGGGGCAGAAAGCAGCACAGACAGAGCTCTGGGAATATTGATCAGCTGGGACACAGCTGTGCTGGGCCTGGCAGCCACCCCTCTGAGGTGCCACTGTGTCTTTGCTTCTCATCTTTTGGAACCATCTAAACCATTCTTAAGATCATTGCTCTGACTTGTCCTTAGAGTCCTCATTCTTTGCACTGCTGTGCTGGAGAGGAAGAGAATTTCCTGCCTGTGCCTCACTGATCTTGACTTCCAGCTAAAAAGCTTCAACAGGAGAGCAGGGGGTCCTGAGGATCTGAGGTTGGGTCCCTTCTCTGCAGCATCAGAGTTTCTGAAGAGTTAATTTGATTCAGTGGAGGTCTTGATGACTTTCACTGAGTGTTCATCACAAGGCAGAGATGGATATCCTTGAATATTCAAGGATACCTAATATTAAGAAATATTCAATATTCAGGAAGCCACATGAGTTTCAACAGAACTAGTAAATAAAATTTACCTGGCAAGATTTTACTGTGATTTAGCTCCCCTAAGTAAAAAGCATATAACTTCTTCCCACTCCAATTACTTCATTCTCTTTAATTACATGGGGAAAAAAATGAAATTCCATATATTTTCTTTTAATATATTGATACCTTGAATTTTTTTGTTTCCGGTTTCTTTTTACATAGTAAAGTAAAAAACCACCCTTGTTTCACTTGTTTTCCTGCAATTTGCCATATCACATTTTTACTGTTATCGTTCTTAGAAATAATCTTGCTATTTTTAATTTCTCATTGAGTTTTTTTAATACCTTTTGTTACACATCTTTTCATATCTTTTTTGTTTGTTTGTTTTTATCATAAGATGTCTATGCAGCATTCAAGATAAGGATTTCTCACTGACTTATGTGGTGACCAGAGTTAAAGAAAGAAAGGACACTTGTTTTTTTAGAAAGTTATATATTAGCTGTTGCTCAGTGTCTTTAGCTGGGCAAGTCAGGAGCCATGGGGGCAGATTTTTAGATATCACCATTTTCCACTACTGAGAATCTGGACCCCTTTGTGCCCTCTAATTATTTCACAGCACATGTGAAGCTTCTCCATGTGATTTGGAATTGGAGTTTTAGTTGCCATGCTAGCACCATCACTGTTTTTTTTTTTTCCCTTTTCCCCCCGGTGGATTTTCATCTCACAGATAGACAGGAAAGCGGGGAGGGGAGCAGGGGAAGAAAAAAGAAAAAAATATCCTTTTTAATTCTCCATCTGCATGGGGCCACAAAAATGCCTTAAGCTGAACACAACAGACTGAAAAACAAGTGGGAAGAGATTATCAGAAGCCTGGCAAGAGGGAAGTGCAGTTGGTGGTCAGGTGAAGGCTGCTTTGGAGGATAAGCAATTTGTGTGTTATCAGTGCAGGAGAGAGAACAGTAGCTCCCTACACTGAAAGGAGATTAAAAGTAACAATAGTCTTTTCTGTACACCATAGGCCAATCTGTTAAATGCAAGGAAAGCTGAGAAGCTGCTTAGAGCTGATGGTTGTTTAATTTACACCTGCACCCACTTGAACTGTGTAAATGACATGGTGCTTTTCAGAACATATGCATGTTTCCATGTGGCACCGGTTTGTGAAACTGTGCCCAGCTGATCTAACAGCGCAAGATTTGCTGTGAGTATAAAACGCAATGCCTCTCTCTCATTCTGGGTAGCCTTCTGGTTCCAGAAAAGAATGAGGAAAAGTTATTTGGCTTTTTATTTTGTTGTTCTTGCCGTTGTTCAGGGTTTTCTTTCTTTTAAAATCAATAGTAATGGCTAGCTGATAGTAAAAAGTGGGGTGTACTACATAATAAAGGCCAAAGCAAAGGTGACCTCCTTTGCCAGAGGAAAAAGTTAGGAAATTCAAGCATTGGCTCAGTTCAGACCAAGATAATTAACACCCTTGATGAATCAATGTATCACATGCACTGTTTTGGAAGAGGGTGATGGAGGAGCACTACAGTCAGGTAGCCAAGACAAGAGTTAGGAGATAGGAATACAGGATGGGGCTTTTTTGCTGCTACTGATTTTAAATCAGCATATATGCATATATATGAGTGATTTTGTATAAAGAATGTTACTTCCTCTGTCTTGAAAGGTACTAAGTACATATTATTGATATTATTGGACAGAGATGATGGAATTTTGTTATTCCACTTGCAAGGCAGCTTCACAAACATGGCTGGATACTCAGCTGTGTGAGCAGAAAGCTCTGTGCTCTCTGAAGGTCTTTTGTTAGCTAAACAATGGCACGGGGCAGACCCAGAAACCTTTCTGTTGCTTTCCTTGCTGAGTCACAGCATTTCTCAAAGTGCAGGCTTGTAAAATGTATGCCAGTATATACTAATTACTCATAATTTAATAATTGCACATTGTCTTTTCTAGCTGAATAATTGATTTCTCATTCCAGCTGTTCTGCTGACTGTAGTGTATGTTACAATTACTGTTCACAGGCTGCTCACTGTTTTTATCCAGTGCATGATGGATGCTGCATGATGGCTTCAGCTCTGTTAGTTTTTTTTTTTCTTTCTATTATGGTATGGGGTTTTTTTCACAACCACTTTTGAATCAAAGGAAATTTTAAGGATTGCACAACAGTTGCATGAAGCAGAGTTTAACCACTGATTATCTCATCATCCATTAACACAAGATCTGGGATTCATTTGCCCCACAGTATCCAAGTCCCCATTTTGCCAGTAAATCCTGGAGTAGCTCTGAAGAGCAAACACATTCCCTGTCACACACATACATGCAAACATGCATTCTCCTTCCTTTTGAATCAGAAGTACATTTTTCTTTATAATCAGTTTAATATACAAGTTTTTTTTCAAATAGAGTCACCAAACATGCAAGGTTGGAAGTATTTTCAGTTATATTTTTTCCCTCTCTTTCAACAGTGTCTCATTAAGAAAAATCTGTGGTGGTTGTTTGAGTGCTTTGGTTTGTTTTTTTATTATTAAATCTAATAAGGCTTTCTCTCTGCTTTATGCAAGTAAAACATCTGATACTTGATATATTCTCTTCCTGTCTGTGAGCCAAACTCCATGACAAATCCTTTTGTCCATGATATTCTGACACTTCTTTTCATCCAGGCTGTCATCATCTATTAAATTATCATCTCCATATTCTGGGTATTTTAGTCAAACAGGAAATTCATCCCGTGACATCAGGAGCTGGAGTCTAGTGGACTGTCTGGCATATGAGGTCACTTAAAGCATTTCTAAATGGAAAAATTCTGATCTTCTGGCAAAAGATTTATTTTTTTTTTTTCAATTTTCTGTTGCTTCTGTTTTTCAGGAAAAAAAATGAAAAGTTTCACTCATAGAAATATTTTTTTTTACAAACCCTTATCTATTTTATCTACTTATCTACCATTATCTACTTTAAAAAAAAAAGGAAAAAATGTTAATTTAAGTCATGCATTTTTAAAATCATGGCTTATTTAAGTCAATGGGAAATTTGCATTCACACCTAACACATCAATGACAGTAAGAAACTGCTTCCTTAATTATATAATTGATAGAATTTCTTATAAAGGAATAACAGAGATTGTGAACTTCATCCTGCTGATTTACACTTCAGCCATCTTCAGAAATACTTACATTTAACTGTATTCTGGAATTGCTTGGCTCTTGTCTTGCCTCTGCAAAGAAAGCAATGCTGCTCATAGAGAACTTATCAGAGATGTTGGAATTAAACCAGGAACACTCTGATTCCATCTAACCTTCAGAAAATGCAGGTGCCCTCAGTGTCTGATTTTATATCAACCTCTTAAAACGAGCCACTGAAATGTGTCTCTTTTTAAAACTAAGAAGTCTGAGAGAAAGCTTTTGCTATGGGGCACTGTTGCTGAAACCAGAGCAAACCAGGGTTAATAAAATGAAGGCACCAAACACAAAAACAAACACACTTGTCATGGTTTGCTCGAATCTCTCCGCGGCACTGACGCCGAGTTGGCCACATGGCCGCATTAGCCATTCCATCAAGGTCAAGAATCCCAAATGAGTTGCTATGGGAAACAAATTACTGAGGTGTCAGCTGGAGCTGAAGCTTTAGATATGAGGGAACTTTGCCCATTATATGCTTGAAAGATTTCCGGAACAACAGAAGCTGGGGAAGAGCATACTGGTAATAACAAGACCGGGAAAGCAGATGTTTCACTGACCTTTGCTCCGTGCATTCGGACTCCCCATTTGCCAGCATGCCTGAGTGGACCAGAAAGGAATTGCAAATAAGGTGGGCTCTCCTGAGGCACAAGTAAATAATTTTTTAAAAAATACAATATCAAGTGCTGTTTTCAGGGAGATAGGTAAAAGAAACTCAAAAGCTCCTGAAACCACCTGGGACTCATGCCCTCCTATTAAGGATGAGGAGAGACAGCTCACTTTTACTACAGCATTAATTTCAGGGGAAGGAATTGAAAGCCAGAGAAGGGGCAACTTGCCATGGAGGTAAACCCCGCACCAGAACCAGTTTTAGTCACTCTGCTCACTTAATAAATGGTCACTGTGAACATGACCTTGGCTGGAATTGTCTGGGGAAAGAGAATTGGGAAGACTGGACCTCCTATCCAACTCTGACTTTCATCTTTGTGAAGGCACTCTGCTGCACTTGACCCCAGGATGCTTAACTCCAGATCTGTAGGAACTGGAATATTTTGTTTCCACCAAGCATTAATTTTGACAAAATAAAAAAAAAAAAATATGCTTAATTATATGCAAGTTTGTTCAGAAAAGTTTAGGTAAATCTCTCTCCTAGTTTGAGAATGCTGATCCAGCTGCTCACTCAGCAGCTATGGGATAGTTTGCAGACAGTGGTGCTATCACCAAAAATAAAATTAAGAACCTTGTCTTTATCACATATTTGTTTAAATTTTCTCATCTATTTACCTTTTTTTTCCATTGAAAATTTTTACATAATCTATCCAGGAACAGGAAAGGGACTTCTTTTTCTCTAGTGAGATAGAGGAAGAAACATCTGCTCTTGAGACTCACATTGGATGTGACTACTGGGTAAAAAACCAGGCATAATTAATTTCCATTAATGAACACATTTTACTGCATACACAACAGATAAAAATCTGACCTACTATATACTTGACTTCTGGATAGTTTTTGCAGGGACAGCCTTCAGCCAATTGTTCCTACTATGGCTTTACATTTGAGGGTTCCTTTTTAAATGTGTTAGAGACGGCTCTGGGAGAAAGAATTAGGCAGAGACTTCTGTTTGTTAATACCTTGCATCATTTCTATACACTCTGCCCTAGTAAGAAATCTTGAAAAGAGACATGTTTGGATAATTTTTCATATAAATATTTTAAACAAAACAAAAAACTAAAAACCTGTGTAGGAGGTCTTCACTTCCCCATAATACTTGTGCCTGAATTTAAACATTATAGCCAGGACCTCAGTGTTCAGATGACTCTCAATATCAATGTATAACATCAGGATCAGGAGATATATTTTTATAAAGGACAAAGGAACAGGCAGTGAAAATCTCTCTACTTCTGTAATAAGGCATTATTGCTCTCCAAATATTTGTCTCTCTGGATTTTTCCTGTGTTATTTGTTGGATTGTAATGATCTAGAGTGAGTTAAAGCTGGATATTACATTTTATCATGGCAGTGAAAAAGCTTTGATATCCTGGAAGACTTCTTTTCTTTTTCTTTTCTTTTCTTTTCTTTTCTTTTCTTTTCTTTTCTTTTCTTTTCTTTTCTTTTCTTTTCTTTTCTTTTCTTTTCTTTTCTTTTCTTTTTCTTTTCTTTTCCCTTTGGATTAGGTTTTATTGCACTTAAGTATTGTGCAGGAATAACTGAAGGTAATGTCACTGACAGAACTGTGCCAGCAAGATCTGTAAATCAAACCAGAATTTGTACATTGTCTGATATTTCTCTTGAAAACATCTGCTCTGACCCTTAATTTCAAAGAAGGGGTAGTAGGGATTTTTTTGTGCAAATGCAGATGTGAGTGGCTTTCACATTCTCAGGCAGCCTGAAAGGAAGCTACACTAATGAGAACAAGGAGATTTCTAAACTGAGAGATGCAGCCTCTGCCTGCAGTAGAAGTTGTTGCCAGTGGGTTTTCTTTTAACCTTTCTCTTGTTAGTCTCGTGGAGCAAACACAGGTATTTCTGGGAATGCTTTGCAGGACAACTTGAAAATAATCTCCATCTCTTTCAGCTGCTGTCCTTACAGCTAAAGTGCAAGTGCTTCTGCATTAAGGAGCTCTATGCAACTGGAGATTGCTTTGCCAGTCCCTGAAATGCAAATGCCTGGGGGAAATGGAACAGGTGTTCAACTCCACACTGCAGCCAGAGCAAAAGTAGAAAAATACCTTAATTGGTGGACCCAAAGAAATAACAGGAGATCAGGAACCCTAAGCAGAGAAAAGTTTCATGGTTTCTTAGGTGAAGGTGGGTTAGGGATGACTGGTCAATTAAGGTAAAAGAATAAAGGTAAGATGCTCTTGAGAACAAGGATGCTAAGTGAAAATACCTAGAATGCAGGGGAACTAATTTTAACATGAAATTCTACACTGAGCCAGTGTCATTTCAAGAAATCTTGGAACTGATATCAAAATTACTTTTCCTGAATGATTAAATCTATTTTAAGAAAAGTGAGTGCCTTTCTCCTGTAGAAGAAAGAAAACTTCTTGATTGATTAAGTCATGTTCAATGCTAATTTAGCACTGTATTTAGAAAAAAGAAAATGTCATCCTGTAGACTATGCCTGTGTTAGATGACCCAATGGCCCAAAATGAGGCAATGTGGGCTTTATGGTCCTGACTTGGAGGTATGAGTAGCCCAGAAAGCTCTTTTCTGCGTTGTCTTGGAAATGGACAAAAGTGTTTTCTTGCAGTGCAGGAGAATAGGACAAAAAAAAATTAGACCCCTCCCCCCCCTTTTTTTTTAATTCTCTTTTCCTTTTTTTTTCTTTTTAATTCTCTTTTCCCTTTTTTTTTTTTTTTTTTTTTACAAAAACAGAAAAATATACAGTTAACATGCCTGGAGTGTGTTAGGCAGAAGATGAGAAATGGGAAGAAACTGATGGACAGAAAGAAAGAAAAATCAACACCAGTGCAATGAACTGGTGTAGAAGATAGGTCAGCAGAAAGAAAAATGAAATACAGAGAGCCAGAGCAGATCCAATCTAACCACATGGCTGGACTGAGGCTAGAAGAACATATGTGCCCCGGATGGTGTATACTCAGAGTGACTGAAGTATAAAGGCATTAAATCACTTGTGCAAAGCCAGATCAACGTCAGCACTCAGGAAGATTGTCTCAACCTCAGCAATTTAGGAATCATTCAGGTCAGTGATGATAAAACTTGGCCACTCCTAATGTTCCTGTTGTCTTTGCATCCATTCTCCTATAATAAGATGTCTGTTACATTCTGCTTTCCCCCCCTCACCTTTTGTCAATTGGACACCCCTTAGCCAGGACTGTCACCATCCCTCCACTGCATCTTTCACCAGCCATGTTACTGAGTAGGGGGAGATCAAAAGCTATCATGGAAACATGAGATTTTCTGTGCTGGAGGAGCCTAGACAGAGTCCATTAAGATCATATCTAACCTTTGCCGGTGTTGAACACCAATATCAGCATGCACAAAGCATAAGAAATGTTGCTTCGTATCATAAAGATGAAGTAAGTGAACCATAGAGGAACCTTTCCCTTAACTCCATTAGTCTGTGATTGCCTTTGCAGGCTCTAAGAGTAATGTTTATTATACACATCAAAAGGTGAGGAGCTTATTTGGTTGGTTTTGCAGGTCTGGTTTTTTGAATCCATGTAACTGTAATTTGTGATGATTATCATGTATATAAAAACCGTGAAGTTTGTTTTACTTTGAAAAGTATTATCATACACATCTTGTGGCAAACAGACTCCAAGAGAAGATGCAAATTTTTAATAGGGAGAGATTCTGTGACTAGCAATCTCTGTATATGCCAGGTTTTATGTTTTATTTCTTTGGTTATTTTTTTCTGATAGATTAAATAAAACCACAATTTTTATTGAGGTTTTGACTGTTTATTCTAACAGTCAGAACTTTTCTTTTGTCATTACATCTATTCCTGCTTCCTTAAGATCCATATCCTCTTCCATGTTGTCAGTTGTCCTCTTTGACCATTTCTGCCTGCTCTTCATTCTCTCAAAATCTGTTTGAGGGGTTAAGGGCATATTTTTCTAAGCTGTTTAGGCTCCTGATTATGCAAATAGACACTTGCCAGGCTTTTCAGAGACATCTTAAATGCTGAGAAGATTAGCAATTGATCTCAATAATACTTCAGTATCCACCTAATTTGTAAATTTAATTGGGTGTCAAATATCTTTGACAGGCTGACCCAAAGTAATCAGTTGTGCACAGAAGGCCACAAGTGACATACTTTTTGGACTAGAATATTACAGGATTCAAAATACTATTTCCTATATCTGTTGCTATTTTCCTTTTCCTCTTCCTCATTCTTTTTGAATTCCATCATTTCTTTCAGCTTTCTGAGGGATTACCTACAGCAGATAAAAATGAAGACACACACATGCAGTTCAAACTGTCCATTTCATTGTGCATACACTCCCCATGTGTTGAAGCAACTCTGCATAGAATTTTTTGGGTAATAAAAGACCTTTAAATATCATCCAGTGCAACCACCTTGACATGGGTAAGGACAGTCTTCCATAGATCAGGTTGCTTAAAGCCCCATTACACTTTCCTTTGAAATCTTCCAGTGATGGGCTATTCACAACTTACTTAGGAAACCTCTTCCAGTGTCTCACTATCCCCCTTTTTGTCCTTTCTTATGTCCAATCTGGATCTACCACCTTTCAGTTTAAAACCCAGGACCCTCCTCCTCTACAGGACCTTGTGAAAAGTCTCTTTTGGTCTTTCTTACCAGCCCAGTTTAAGTCTTGAAAGACTGCAATAAAGTGTCCCTGGAGCCTTCTTTTCTCCAAGCTGAATAACCCCAAGTCTTTCAGCCTGTCCTCATAGGAAAGCAGTTTTAGCCCTCTAATAGTTTTGCCTTCTCTGCAGATGCTCCAACAGTTCCATGCATTTCTTGAGCTGGATGCAGTGCTCCAGGTGGGGTCTCATGAGAACAGAGGGGGAGAATCACCTCCCTCAACCTGTAGTCACACTTGTTTTTATGCAACTCAAGGTATTATTGGTTTTCTGCCTACAACTGCACATTGTCAGTTTATGTCCAAGCTTTTATCTACTAAAATCCTTTTCAACCTCTCTATCCAATCATGACCCAGCCCAAACTGGAGCTGATGATTCCCCTGACCCAGGTGCATGACCTTGCCTTTAGGTTTTTTGAATTTCATGGGGGGTCATATGAGCCAAATCTTTTAAAGTACTTCTGAGTGCCATCCCTTCCTTCAAACCAACCAACTGTACCCCTCAGTGTGGTGTTATCAGCAAAGTTTCTGAGGCTGCACTCAGTCCCACTGTCAGTGTTGTTTGATTTGAAATGTTGTAATATTGGACTGCACTGGTCCTAATTCAGTCCCTTGGGTGGTAACATCACTTCTCGCTGGTTTCCACTTGGACACTGAGCTATTGGCTGCAACTGTTTGAATGCAACCACTCCGACAATTCCTTATTTACCGAACAGTCGAATCCTGAAACCTTTGTTTCTCCGATTTAGCATTAAGAATGATTTGGGGAGCTGTATCAAAGGCCTTATAAAATTCCAGGCAGATGACATCCATAACTCTTCCCTTGTTTACCAATACAGTCACTCTGTCATAGAAGGCTACTAGCTTAGTATAAGGCACAATTTGTCCATGGTGAAGTCATGCTTGCCGTCTCTAATCACATCCCTGTCTTCCATATGTTTCAAAATTTCTTCCAGTGGGATCTGTTCCATGATCTTCTGTCTGCACAGCTGACGTCCATAACTCCAGCTGAGCTTGTTTTCTTTGAATTTCTTCAGTAGACAAATGAGTAAGACCCTATAATCCAGACATAAAAAACACAGTGAAGACTTCAGAGTTCTCTTAGGTGGTGAAGTTACATCTGATCTGTTGCTTTCTATCTTTGCTGAGGAAACTGACAGTACTGAATTTAATTAGCTGGGGTACTTTATGTTGCTTGCCAGAGATATCTGCAGGAGTTACATCACACATCAATGGAAAGCAGCCTAGTTTTCTTCCTTCAAACCCCTTAGGTACAGTGAAATAATATATTTCAAGATGAAAGAAGGATTTTCACTCGGGTCATCTTTGCTTTTTGAAAGTTTAGTGGAGATTTGGAAAGCACCAGCAGGTTAACCTCATCCTCAGCAGGAGAAACTGAAAATGGTAGAGGTTTTGTTTGTTTGGTTTGGAATTCTTTTTTTCCTTACCCTACTACAGAGAGGATTATTTGATCATTATGAAAACCATTTGCATATATATAATTATCTTGTTCAGGGATTTTTTGCTCTCCTACTGACACAGATCCATGAATTCATCAGCAACTATTTGTTGGAAGATTAGCAGGGAGCACTGCTCCCAGTTCAGCAAAACAACCTGGAGGTGTGACCAACATGCACCTGTCTCATGCTTGGAACAAAAATATCAGACTGACCATTTACAAGATTGCTATAACCAAGAAATATGGTGATCAGCCCCTATTCAGAGCTGTGGCTCACTGCACGATGACTCATGGCCAGCTGTATATTCTTTACTTGTGTTTTGATTGAATGCTGGGGTGGGGGAAAGGAGGGGAAGACTCAGAGCAAACACAATCATGATGAGGTCAAACACCCACATTCGCCACATTTGGGAAAAATTATCTGATCGTTTAGGACGTTACATAAGTTATTCGTGGAATTCATACTTCATTGATCTCCTGGAGGATTCGGGCCGGCGGGCGAGCCGGGCGGTGGCAGCGCAGGGGGCGATCCCCTCACAGCGGGGCAGGCCCGAAGCGCGGCCCCGGGCCCGGCCCCGCTCCCCCGGCCCGGCCATTACCAGGACACCGGCAGGAGGCACCCGGGCTCCTTTCAGAGCCGCTGCTCCCTCTCTTCTGTCACGGGGGCCGTGACCTCCCCGCTCGCGGACACCAGGAGCCACCCCTGCCCTAAAATCTTGGGAAAAACCTTCCACAGATGGAACGGAGGAAGCGGGGGCGCTTCCCCTGTCCCCTGCAAGGGGGCGAGCCCGGCTGTTCTCGGCAGCTCCACGAAACCTGCAGGAATGGGGATCTGTCCCTCTCCTCCAACCTGCAGGAATGGGGATCTGTCCCTCTCCCTCCAACCTGCAGGAATGGGGATCTGTCCCTCTCCTCCAACCTGCAGGAATGGGGATCTGTCCCTCTCCTCCAACCTGCAGGAATGGGGATCTGTCCCTCTCCTCCAACCTGCCTGAATGGGGATCTGTCCCTCTCCTGCCAACCTGCCTGAATGGGGATCTGTCCCTTTCCTGCCAACCTGCAGGAATGGGGATCTGTCCCTCTCCTCCAACCTGCAGGAATGGGGATCTGTTCCTCTTTTCCCTCCAACCTGTAGGGATGGGGATCTGTCCCTCTCCTGCCACCCTGTAGCAAGTGCAGATCCTTTCCCTGCCTCCCACCAAGCAGCCCGCCAGGCCTCTCCGTACCCAGGTGTCCAAATAGATGTGTGAAGAATACAGAGATCATGTACAACAGAGAACATACAAAAGCAAAAAAGGGAAAACTCAAACAGCATCACTATAAACCACGTCATTTCTACATTCCTCGTTGTGCGAACTGGCTTGAAAATTAGTTAAGATCTCCTGAGTCTTCAAGAGCTTTTTCATCTTTTCCCCATGGTTTTGTAGTTTTGCTTTTTATTTTTTATTTTCATGTTTTTTTAAAAAATAATTGGTCATAAGTATTTTGACTGGAGATAAAAATGTGTATAACAGCTCTTTTCCCAGCTGAAAGCAGTAAACTATATCCAGTGCTAGGTCTTATGGTGCAACTGGTTTAATACAGAAGATGGAAGGGTGAACAATATCATAAGTTTTTAACTCTTGGAAAAATAAAAATAGAATAGAAAATTAGGTGCTAAAGAAGAGGGGTTCCTGTTGGCTAAATAAAGCAAGAGCAGTATAGCAAGCACCAAGTGCAGGAGTAAATGGGAAGATTGTATGTCACATTATTCCAGTGTTAAGGCAAAAGATCCCAAAAATTCAGAATGACTAAAGGAAGGTGTTCCAGGAAAAGCTCATGGTAACTTTGGATCTTAAAAATATTCCTCACAAATAGAAGAATATTCATGGGAAATTATCTTCTGTCTTGGGAAATGTGGTCATAAACTGCTGCAGTAAGGGGAAATGGTTTCTCCCTCTGTCCTGTGGCTAATGACAGGAATATCTGAAAAGTTCACTGAATTGCATAATACTGCCATTCAAGATAATTATTTAAACTCTACAATCATTTTAAAGACAAGACTGTAACGGGTTCGTTATATTAGGAGTTTTTAATTGAGTGGAAGAAGTGTATTTGTACTTGAAAAGGTTGCAGAATTTGATTTTTGAATTAATGGAAGAAGCTGTTACCTGCTTTGAAGTGCTTGATCTTTTCTGTACACTGCAAAATTCGGCTGGAATAAGGCCGCCACAGTGTTTACAAATCTTGGAAAATAATATCTTCATTGGCAGCAACCACTGAGGATGACTTTGGGAGTATGATTCTGGTTTCATTTGGGAACATCTGTCCTTTAATTACTGTAAAATATCTGCAGATAGATCAGGGAGATTATGTAGAAATGTGTGACTTCTGA